ATAAGCTATAAGCTAGCTTATTATACGTGTCAAACACACCCATAATCCAAACAAATTTATATAGGAATTAATCGAAATTATATGTACTATTGAGATAAAACAATACCTAAATGAGTTTATATATCGAAACTATAAAGTGATAAAACAGAATTTAAACAAGTTTAGTAGTCAATCGAAATTATATGTACTGTTGAGATAAAACAATATCCAAACAAGGATGGAAAATCGAAAAAATATGTGACATTTTTCTAAAACAATATGTAAACAAGCTTATGATTTCGAAACTAAGTACCTAAACAAGTTAATTACGGAAACCAGAATATATCCCCCTATATATTAATCCAGCCCCTATATATTAATCCAACGCGCTGCTTACGTGACTGCTTCTGGTGCTTCGAAATCCTATGTGACAAAATTACATGCTTCGTTATTAGGCTTGGATAAATTTTAATTTAATTTCAAACCAAAAATAATTAGGTTCGGATTACCATAAATACGTTGAGTATTTATGGTCATGTTACATGTATTGATTGTATTTTAATATCATTACTTATTATAACTATTGAATTGTATATATATTTTAAAAGTTAATAACTTTTGTATTTTTTATCAGTTTTACATATGTAATATATGTAATTAATCTTCTTTTGATGAGTTTCGATTTAACATCCATATTGTATGTATAAAAAAATATATTTATCTTTATAACAATAATAAAAATATTTTTAATATTAATTAGAAAAATAAAATTATTTATCAACTAATATATTTATATTTCAAGTAATTATATGATATAAGTTATAAAAAATAATATAATATAACACATGTAAGTCATAAGTAACACATATCATTCTAAAATATATAGTAATATATTTTTTGTAAAAAAGTAAACTAAATTTAATACAGTTTTCTCATTAATTTTAAAAAAATTTTAACAAGCATCCGTGTATTACACGGGTGTTGTACTAGTTTCATTGAGATAAAACCGAATCTAAACAGGTTTAGGAAGCGAAACTATAAATCTCGGCGAATAGATCTAAACAAGTTTAGTAATCGAAACTATATGTCACGTCCGTGCGCGGCATTCGTTTTCCAGCATAGGTCTTCACGAAGTCTTCTCTTTCTTCGCCATTTTTGAACCACACGATCCCTTTACTTTTCCCGCTATCTTCATTGTGATTTATAACCTCCACTCCCTTAATCTGATGGCAAAAAACAATTTGTATATGTTAATTTAATTGACCTTTTTTTTTCTATAAGAAAAGTGGTCTTGTTTGGCGATCAGCGGATAGCGGATAGCGGATAGCGGATTGTATTAGCGGATAGTGGATAGCG